GGCTGGGGCGCGTGGGGTCAGGACGTCGCTCTGCCCAAGAGCCGCAACGCTGCTTGCCACGCGGAGCACTGAGGTGCCCCCCTCCTACAGCGCCAGGCTGCTTAACACTAGGTAGGGAAATGCCCCTCCACGAGGAGCTGCTCTTCAGCACCACAGTGTGGGGATTAGGGGAATCGGGGGGCTTCGACACACCATCCGCAGAGCTTTACTCATCGCCCCCAACCCCGACGGGCAACGCGTTACAAAGGCTATTGGACCACCAGCCCTCACAAGGGTTCTTTAGCTGGAGTAAGGCATAGGACTTGGACTAGGTAGGGAAATGCCCCTCCACGAGGAGCTGCTCTTCAGCACCACAGTGTGGGGATTAGGGGAATCGGGGGGCTTCGACACACCATCCGCAGAGCTTTACTCATCGCCCCCAACCCCGACGGGCAACGCGTTACAAAGGCTATTGGACCACCAGCCCTCACAAGGGTTCTTTAGCTGGAGTAAGGCATAGGACTTGGCAGAACGAGAGACGTGCCGGGATGCTCACCAAAAGGATAATTATTAAGACAAAACAATGATGTATTTTGTGATAGAAGCCGGGGAAACGTCTACCCCTTCCAGACTACCTGTTCTTTGGCTGAGAACGTATAGTAGCTTTCCAGCCAGGAAATATAGTCCTCCCTTCTTCTACGGCTTATAATTTGTTAAAAAAAAAATCATGGGGTAAAAATAAGGTAATTGTTCAGACTAAGAAATGTCAAAGCTAGTTCCTTCAAACGCATATTGTTGAAATAATGAACAGGTGACACTCTCTTCACTCCACTTTAGACTTAACATTTATTTTCCCATTGATATTTCTCCAAAATATTTACAGCTGCTAGTAATATCTCCATCCTTTAACTAATAGTATCTTCATCAGAGCTGTACAAAGACACAAACATTGGAATTAAGTTGTTTCTAGCACCCAATTATCATTGCACTGAACTAATCCTTGAAGCAGCTTTTTATCAGAAGCACCTAATTTTCTGTAGCTCTTGAAGTCTGTGGCAGTAGGATACACTTGGTCGGGCTGTTTATTATGCATCATATGGGGGAAAAAAAAGAGGCAAGACTGAGTGACAGGGAGGAGGAAGGCTGGTACAGTTAGATAAAAGCAATTGAAGAATGGGGTAAGAGAGATATTTTACAGAATATTTTCCCCCAAATAATCATTCTTAATTTTCACATTCTCAGGCAGGTGGAAGAATGAAACTCCTTTTCTTTTCTATGTTTGTGTTTAATGAAAGTCAGTACAAATTACCTCTTAATTGTTGAGTTTGTAAGTAGTATTCCCAAAGTGTACTTAGTGCATTTAACAATAGAGTACACTCTCCATAGTAATCACCTTTAAACAGGCTACTTCCAAAGTAACTTTTGTTCTCCTGCTTTACTGTTTCTCTGTCCTTGCATTTTGGCCTCAAGGCTACCAGTGCCCCAGTATTACCTTCAGTGTGGTTGCTTAGGGTTATTAAGTACCATTAAAGTTATCCAAGTTCATTCATAATACTCAAGATTAAATTAAACTGATTCAGTTTCAGCTGTTTTCTGGCTCTTCAGGTCTAAAAACAGTGTACATTTGTTCATGAAAATGAGCAGAGAAATTAATTCCTGTTAGACAAAAGTATGTACAACTCTCTTAAGAGTGAGACCACAGTAGAGTGGTGTATGCCACTAAAATAATTTAATTTTCTGAGGAGTCTGTCTGCCTATCCCTAAACAGTAAGGCTACGTCTAGACTGGCATGATTTTCCACAAATGCTTTGAATGGAAATGTTTTCCGTTCAAAGCATTTGCAGAAAAGAGCATCTAGATTGGCACGGACGCTTTTCCGCAAAAGCACTTTTTGCAGAAAAGCATCTGTGCCAATCTAGACGCACTTTTCTGCAAAAAAGCCCCGATCGCCATTTTCGCGATCGAGGCTTTTTTGCGGAAAACAAATCTGAGCTGTCTACACTGGCCCTTTTGTGCAAAAGTTTTGCGCAAAAGTACTTTTGTCTGAACGGGAGCAGCATAGTATTTCCGCAATCTTACATGAGATCGTCAGTGCTTTTGTGGAAATTCAAGTGGCCAGTGTAGACAGCTGGCAAGTTTTCCAGAAAAGTGGCTGATTTTCTGGAAAAACTGGCCAGTCTAGACACAGCCTAAGAATTACAGACACCAAATTTGGTATATAGCTTTCTCTTATAAGAAAAAGCAAAGTAGGGGTTCAGTTGTACCTGGAAAATAGGATGTGCCTGGAATGGGATTTTTTCTTATAAAGCCATACAGAAAAGGAGACAATCACCAGGCAGGTGAAAGGGGCTGTCTGGTGGCATGCCAGCCCCCATCCAGGAATGCTCCAGCCCTGAGCCTGTCACACACCCCACCAGCTCCTGCCAATTTGAATGGGAACATTCCTCTTCATCAAGGAGCAGGGGGGAAAGTATACCATTTGCTGCATTTCTCACTCTGGGACTACGTCTACACTGCACCTATTGCACACAAAAGCCTATACAAATGAAGCATGGATTAGCATATTGTCATGCTTCATTTGCGTAATTAGAGGCTATTTGTGAACAAGAGGCTTTTGTGCAAAAAGGAGCTGTGTAAATGGCTCCTTTTTGTGCAAAAAAACCCCTCTTGCGCAAGAGCCATTCTCCTCATTTTTTTCAGGATTTTGCGCAAAAAGGAGCCATGTACACAGTTTGTTTTTGCACAAAAGCCTCTTGCACAAAAACAGCCCCATATTGATTATGCAAATGAAGTGTGACAACATGCTAATCCATACTTCATTTGCATAGGCTTTTGCATAAGAGAGGTGCATTGTAGACATAGCATTTGTGGGGAGCACAGGGAGCAGATGAACCCAGACCTGCCCCAGCCAGGGGACATATACACTTCTCCCTGCTGGAACTGCAATGGCCATGGAGAGGTGCTTCTCACCTAGCCACAAGGTGTTGCAGTGAGAGAGGGCCGGGGTTGTCCTTTCTCCAGGGCAGCCTGCATACTGAACCCCTCATCTCCAGATCAATGATTTAAATGAAGCATGTACATTTTCATTTTATTTTCCAGAAACTAGAATTAAGGATCCAAGTAATTCTGGGTAAATCTTCTAACACAGTGTCACCAACCATTAGATCGAGATCTACTGGTAGATCTTGGAGCCTCTGACAGGTGATCCTGACTGGTTTGGCCAAGAGGCTACCAAGTGCTGGCATTTCAGCTGCTCCTCCCACTACTGCCCACACCTTTGCCTTGGAGCTGTCTCTTCCAACCCCCGAGAGCCTCCTGCTTGCTGTGCAGGGCAGAGGAGGGAGAAGAGGGGCACTGATGTCAAGGTATCCCCTCTCCACAGAGCAGAGAGGGGGCTCAACAGGGCTTGGGATGGAGTTTGCTTTTGGGAGTGGTGCAGCGCCAGGGTCCCAGTAAACCTGCTTTACCCCACTGCACCACCAACCAGGAGTCACTGAGGAGAGCAGTGCCCAGCTGGAGCCCACATCCTGAAAACTTACCTGAATCATGAACCCCTTCCTGTACCCCAGACCCGTGCCCTAGCCCCAAGCATCCCTGCATTCAAACACCATCCCAGAACCTGCACCTAGAACCCCCTCCTACAACCCAACTGCCTTCCCCAAACTGAGCTTATTTTAAGAGGAATAAGGGATCTTTCGGAAAAGGCTTTATTTTCCGAAAGATCCCCGTCTAGACTGGCTCTTTTTTCCGGCAAAGCTCCGAGCTGGAAAAAAGCGGCAGACATGTTTATGCAAATGAAGCGGGGGGGATTTAAATCCCCGCTTCATTTGCAATTGCGATGTGTCTAATTTGCATCCCTTTTATGGAAAAGGGATGCAGTCTAGTCACAGCCCATTTGTATGAAGCAGCTGTTTCACTTTGTAGTTAATAACCACCACCTTACATGTGTTTCTTACACAGAGATACAATATGTAACCCAGCTATGTATCCAATCTGAAATTTTAAAAATTGGGATATAGTCTGTTAAATCATTTGGGGTAATTTCATACATTTAAATATGATCAGTTCTCCAGAGAATCTATTGCATCTTGTAATGCACCCAGGATGGCGTATACGGTGATGTGAGATGCTAGGAATGTGTATCGACGGTAAG